CCCCAAAACCCCAAAACCCCAAAACCCCAAAACCCCAAAACCCCAAAACCCCGTTTAGCCAAATAATGCTAGAAATTCAGCAAAAAAGTTTGAATAAATACAGAGACTTATTAGAAATTAATAGTTCCAAGATAGCAAACGAGTTCTTTTTTGAGTTATTTCTACATAATCTTTATAGTTCATTTATTTACCCTGTAACCTCTCCTAAATACGTCTCTTTTCATAACTAAATATACCATCTCATATGCAACTTCATATGAGTTTAAATTGACCTCATCTCACTCATTGAGATGCTCAATATCTTCTTGAACCAGCCTACTTAGGTCTATTTACCAATCTCAGAGTTTTTCCCTTTGCTCTGCCTCCGTTGACGTTTGGTCTAGTTGGTCTAACACCCTAAATTCTATTGAATCTTTGATCGAGTGTTAATCTGCCTGGGTGATTGTCAACTTGCATACTATCTAAATTCAGTTTGTCATTGTAAGCTCTTGGGATTTCTCCTAGTTTTTTTAACTCTGCTTTTACTTAGAGGTTCTTAAGTGATTCGAAGTCAGGTAGCTTTACTTGTCCGATATAGATATTTCCTGTTGCACTTTATCTTTATTGGCTAGGAGTCCTTTGCACATTTTATTGAGTTCTAGGTGTTCTTAATCCTAAAGTTCTTCTATTAGAATAGCTCTAAGTGTTTCTTGATGCTATTGGTTGTCTTCTAATCTTTCCAATTCTCTTAGATCTCTGATTCAAACCCTATTTCGAAATTTTATAAATCAATCATGTCTTACTAATCTTTGTTGTCCTCCATTAGTCTATAGCTGTCTTCTTCTGAAATTTGTAGCACCACCCTCTCTATAGGCATTGCTTCTAACTCCACCTCTTGTTCTTAAAGTGCCCTATCTCTCGTTATTTCTTTGGCCTTGGTTTTGTCCCTGATTTCCAGCAATTTGATGATTTCTCTGTATTCTTCTTTGTCCGACTACTGCATTATTGTTCTATCTCTATCTTTATTGATTTCTGAACTTATTTTGGATTCCACCTTATGGTCTTCTATTTGCAAAGCCTGCTCCTTGGTATCTGTTGCCACCTGAATATGGCTGTTATTATTATCTTCGTGGCTGCTCTTAATAGTTACCTTAGCCTCCATAGCCACCAGCTCTTTAAGAGTCATTATATCTGCCGCCTCTGTTCATAATTTTAAATCTACGCTTTTAATATTATATGAAATTTAAATTTATCAGAATTATATTACATTTATCATAATCAGGATACTTAGAACCTCGGGGTTTTGGGGTTTTGGGGTTTTGGGGAGATCGGAAGAGCACACGTCTGAAC